CCCCCCCCCCAACCTTCCCAGGACCACTTACGGATTTCGTGCCAGGTTCACTCATATCCACCCATATTGCAGTAGTGGTAGTGTACACTTTGTTCTCAGCTTTAAAATTTTATTATGTTTTTTGGTTTCAAATCCCGTTTAAAGCGAGTGAGTTGCTATTTTTGTGTTCTACGGTTAGGACAACTTCCAGGTTAGTGGTTTAGGTTACCTTGACTTCTTAGTAATATTATCAACATTACTAGCTTTATTCCCATTATTATTTTGTTACTTTGTATTCTTAACTTACATCTTCATTTAATAGACCCCATTCGGCCGTCTCCCTTGAGTGCCTGGACATCTTGCCTCTTACGTAATGTTTACCCTGGCCACGGAGTCATGATTTATTCGGTCCCAATTTCTTTTTCTGGTATTCCCTTTATGCAGTTATTACGTTAATTGGCAGTGGTTTTTATATAGAACGGGACTGCCGGCTGTCTTATTTATTAATACGACGTTGTTCGCATTTGTTACTATCTTTTCGGGCTTCCTTAATAATTATTTGTGTTATGTGTTTGTTGATTTTGATTTTATGTATTATCTACGGTACTCACTTGGACCCACTCTGACTTCTGGGTAGCCACTTCCTTGAGCGTGCCAGTGAATAGGTTCATTTACATTTAGTACATTGGAGACTGGCCACTGTTTTAGTTAAATATAAATTCGAAAGCTAAATCTGCCTCTATCATCGTGTCTAGAAAGACAAATTTTCGTATTCAATTGGGTTCATTAGACAGAGCTAGTTTTGATCACTGGGCTTTGTCTAAACCTAAAGGGTTCAACAGAACAGGATTATTTCCAGTTTGTACCTGAGGATTTAAGCAGATACATCTTCCGAAATGGATAATTTTAAATTTAGTGATGTCAATGGACAGTTTTCAACACAGCAGTCTCATTATCACAAGCAGGTCACTGTCAAGAACATTAAGAGAATCACGGAGTTAGCTGTACAGTGAAAGGCGACTGGTCACTGTTCCAAAACATTAATAAGTGTGAATCCACTTGCGCTATTCAGTTGTTTTGGTCTTCCGGGGTGCATTCTGCGCATACAAACGAGGTTCTGAAGGCTTAGCCATTACAGCAAAACCGTCCCTTAACTTCTCTGGGTGCAGTGAAATATGAAAACGTGAGTTCGTGTTCAGTTTCCCACGAGAAAACCTGTAGCTGAAGTCTGTTCAGACCGTTACTGGGTAACCTCTTGACATCGTCCACGCAGAACTTGTGATCTTTAATGAATACAAATGACTCAGGATGCAGTATAATTAAGAGTCATTTATGTTAAGAACACGAAACTTTAAGGGACTAAATGTATATTAATTTCAGTCTATTAACTTTGCGTGCCTGATCCAAGGAGCAGACAGTCTGCGGCCAGTGCATCAGGCCTGTTTCAGACTGAAGTAACAGAAGGCACCGCCCAGCCTTAATTATTATTATTAATTCTTTTATTTAAAGCAATGCTGTCATATTTTATACTAGACATGTCTCTTCCAATCATTAAAATACTGATTGTATTTACTGCAAATATATATATTTTAATTTTTTCGTTTCTCAATGATAACAAAGATTTGTGTTAATGGAAGTGTCATTATTATTATTATTATTATTATTATTATTATTATTATT